TGAAGAAAGTCGGAACCAAGTTTTTCCACTGAATCCAAGAAAAATACAAAATGCTAGTCAAGATTGGGAGCTTGACATCTCACTATGCAAAAGTGATCAAACCAGTCAGGTGAGACAAAATAACTGATGAAGAAAAAAATAGATAAATGTAAACAAATTCAAGCTTGGTAATGTTACCTCCCACCCCAAGCTAAGAGCTCTTTGATATACGGCACCACCAACAAGGGCAACATCTCGCAAGACAACAAGTCCAACAAGTCCAGCTTTACAACACAAAAAGAACACACACATAAGCACATAGGCATATAAAAAGATGAGTGTCCAGACCATATTAACTATTCAGTATAATTAGAATCCAATATAATGCAGATATATCTGTATTGCCATATGGAATCAGACAACTCTTCACTGATTTAAGACATTTAGTTGACAATTGGCTGGGGTTGAGGAAGCATATATAGGAGATTCCATTCTGTCAGATTTGGAAGAAGTTTATCGCAACAGGTAGCTTTCTTTGCAAGGGAAGCAGTAAGGGAATGCATCCTAACCCTTGCTAAATTGATGAGGAGGGGAAAAAGTCTTGGTAGATGGGTGTTAATTATGCAACTGCAACTCTGCAAGAGAGATGCAGAATCCTGCAATCACAGGGTAATGGCAAAGAGAGGCCAAGATGACTTACGATGCAAAAGATCTTGATGTACCATTGCCAAAGCAACACATCCAATGAGTACCTGTCTCAAGAAATAACAAGTTTAGTTAAATAAGCTTCTGCCTCTGTGCAGGCTCAGTGATTAAAAACACAACCATCACCGCCTAGGTTTAAACGCATTACAAATATTTACCTTATCTGCAAGCGGATCAAGGTAAGAACCGACTACAGAGTTAATTCCCATCTTCCTGGCCATGTACCCATCTAACTACAAAACGAAAGGAATAATATAGGGAATAAATAGACAATCTAGTCCATACAGTGAAGCTCTGTTTAACAAAGATCAGCTAAAGTGTTAAAGCATGCATACCCAGTCAGTTGCTCCAGAAATAGCCAATCCCACAAAAGCTGAAGCATACATTTCGTTTGTGATCATCCTGCCAAAAAAAATCCTTAATAATCGATACTTCTCAGCGTGAAATGATGATAAATGATAAACCAAGACATGGATATCAAGAGGGTTTTAGTATCTACCAAAGATCTGCTGGCCAAAAACCAATGGCAAAAAAGACTTCAGGATTACTGCAGTTCTGAATTGTAACCCTTCTACATTAGTCACCTAAAATCATTCATTCTATTAATTTACTAAAAGCAAATATGTAAGTTGTTGGAGCAGGAGAGAATCTAGTTTATATTAGAAATTCGTAACAGTTACTCTCATGAATTGATAAAATTTTAATGCATTCTTCCAATCTACTTGAAATATGTTCTTACCAATAATGTTTACCATCTTCCGAATTTATTTCAGAAAACTTCTGAATTTGTTCCAAATGTAGCCTAACTAAGAAACGAAATTTACTTTTCTATTTAAATAGCTTCAGTTGTTTGAATAAAGAAGAGAAAAACATTTCTCAGTTTGAAGCTCTTTTTCTACTCTACATTCTTCCTTCTCTTCTTTTAGCTAACGTTAGTTCCCTCTATTTTCTCGGCAAACAGGCAGATAAAGAGAAAAGAAGAAACCAAACGTACCATCCAAGGAAAGGCCCAGAAACCAATCGACTCATGGATATGAAATTCGGCAAATTCACAAAACTCTCCACAAACCCATCTCTCTCAGCGATTTCCCCTTTCGGTTCGACTCGATTCAACACCGCTTCAGGGTCGCAGGAGACCGCCTCCAAACCCAATCTCACCGGAAACCGGGCCCCGCTTCTAATCAAATCCAAATTCAATTTCAGATTTAAAGCCTCAACTTTCCTGAAAACGGCGGCGTTTCCTCGCAGATACAAGGGAGTAGCGGCCTGAGACAGCTTCCACGGGGGAGAAGAGAGGAGAAGAGGACCTTGAAAAGGGGTTATCCATTTGGAGAGAGGAGAGAGAAAGCGAGGGGAGTGAGTAGGAGATAAACGGTGAGAGAAAGAAGGGACGAAGAGAGGCGTGTATGGCGAAGCTGTTGCCGTGAAAAAATGTATGGTTCTTCGAGGGTTTTTACTGATCAGAGCTTTCAGAGAACTGTAGATCGCCATCAACGGAGCATCTTTGGATCGAAAGGAGGAGAGAAATAGATTTTGCAAGGGGTTTAGTTCACACGTGTGCTTGTCCACGTCATTCATCGATTTCTTTACACGTGTGCTGTCGGTACACGTGGCTTAAAATTGTTGGATTGGGCTTTCTTCGTGTCCTTTAAGGCCCATTTGAGATTTGTTCATGTTTATTGGCTTAAATCTTATTTTTAATATTTGATTCTTTTATAATTTAAAAATAAAAATTTACATTTTTATTTTGTTTTAGTAATTTTATTAATAAATTGTTAAATTTAAAATTAATTTTAAAAATCTCAGTTGCCAGAAACTTATTTATTAAAAGGAAAATATTACAATTAACTTTTTAATTAATTTAATTAATTAATTAATTAATTTTTCTTTAAAGGGTTACAACAATTAACTGACAATAATAATTAACCAGAAACTTTTGTTTTAATTTTTTTGGTTCATTTTAAAAACAAGAAACAAAAAGTCGGGCATCTGGCAGTAAATGTGTTGTAACGTTTTTGGTCCAAATCAGTTTTAATTTTCCGTGTTTGTTTTGTGCCCAGAAAAATAAAATCTCTCTAAATGAAGAAGCTGAAACAAGCCCCCGATTAAAATGGGTAGATACACCAGAAAAACAAAACTCATATCACCATTATAACTCTCAGAAACCCAAGAAAATTTAAAGACTTGTTCTTCAAACCTCACTAGATTTGTTGGTGATTTTGTGTTTGTGTGTGTGTGTGTTTTTTTTTTTCTCCTTTTTCTGGGTTTTTGAAGTTTTCTTGAGCAGTTTTTTGGTGTTATAAATGCTCATCACTGATTTAGTCTTTTGTCATACAATGCATTTCACTACTCCTTCCAAGTTGCTGGTCTTCAAGCTTTGATTTTGATTCTTGGTTTTCCAAACAATTCTGGGCAGTACACACATTTTCAACTTCTGTTGATTTGGGTTTTTATTGGAATTTCATTTTTTGGTGGTCCGATTGTCATTAAGAATTTTTTGTATAAAAATATTCTCTGATTTTTAGAATGATTTTTCATTTTCTGGGAGTATAGTTTCATCAAAGAATCAATGAAGAGTTTAATCCAATACAAATATTACTATATTTTAGATCATTCAAACACCTCTCAATGTGTTATCTTCTAGGTTTCCAATAACAAATATAGTTCTTGGCAGCACTAAAGATCTTTCAATTTGTCGATTTTTGAGTGTTGACAAGAACTTGATTGTGGAAAATGGTCTGCTTCTCATGTGCCAAGCCAAAAGGAGACGCTAGAGTTTCTTCTAAGGCAAGCAAGAGGCAAGAGGCTTTTAATAGTGCATACAATTTTGCGGCCTTTATCAAGACTATATCGCGTAAAATAGGTACATTTTCGTAAAAAAAAAAAAAAAAAAAAAATACACCTTATAACAGTCTAAATCTATTTAATGTGTAGTTTTACCTCATTAGTTGAAGTACGTCCGTTTTTCTCCTTTCAATCTTTCTTCAAGTTTGTTTCGATTTATTCTCTGCAATGTCTTCTCTTATCTTGTCCGATTCAATTGTCTTCCTTTGTTTTCTTGTGTTATAAGTAACATGTCCGCAATAAATCCTTAAGAACAGAAATGGTGCTCTGTATGATTCTGCAAGATTTTATACACTCTTCAAAGTCATTCTAGATTCTGTAATAATTAAGGATGTTATACCAGGTAGCAGCAAAGAGCATTATATAGCTGCAGAGTTAGAGAAGTTTGGACATCCAAGAAAATCTTGTCAAACATTTTCGTTTCAAGAACTATCAGTTGCTACCGATAATTTCAACCCTAACTGTCTTCTGGGTGAGGGTGGATTCGGTAGG